GTGAAACCAAGAATGATAGTTGACAGGAGAAGAATTGAAAGAAGAACAATCATAGAACTTGAAAAAAGTTTCAGGATTTTCTGAAAATATTGGATCACCTGTTAAAGTAGAAACCGGTTCGGTAGCTTTTTCATATCCTTGACACTCGAAAACCCAATCAGATTTCGGTTTTCTTGAGTTCTAAAAATGTTATAATTTCACTAAACAACGTAAATTTACCTTACCGTAGTCAATGTTTTGAATTCTTCCCAACGACATCCACCAACTTGCTTTCTAGTGCAGAAATGTGGGAAAAGTTCAACTCGAGTTTGATTGAATCCCATTGACAAGTAAAACTTAAATGTTTGAAAGTGAGCTAATATAAGATTTTTTGACGAATAACCTTTAAGGAGAGTTCCCCGAAATCATCATGCATCTCGATTGCAATATGTGCACCGTAGTTTGGAATATCTTCTGGATGTCCATCCAGACGTAATGATTCCCAAATGGTGACAAGATTTGTGTCATGCTAAAGTTTAAGTTTTAGATCAAAATTATAAAAGGTTGCCTAGAACATACCCCACTAACGAATACACCCCTGCTAGTGTTTTTCTGAAGATGAGTCTCAAAATATGACATAATCAACTCATTGTGGTAATCTAGAAAAACAAGTATTGTTTGAATGTGTCAAAGTGACTTCCTCGTACCTCCAATAGTAGAATTTTGAATTTTAACAATAGCATCGTGAACTAAGAAACTCATATTCATAATTCGATTCTCATATCCTCTGGCCCAAACCGGATAGGGAAGTCGTTTGTCGTCGAGGATATGCTGAAATATATTTTAACAGGTTTTCTTTTGGTGGTGCGCGGACTGAATTTTTTGAATTTCGGAACACCAGAATATTCCGAAGGAAACATTTATCGAATGCTAGGATTTCCGAGCATTTCAATTTGTTTCGAATTTCGGAATTTTGGAACAACTTTTTAAAGTTAGAATTCCGGAAGTTTGGGAACCAAACTTCTTCGAAGCTACCGAGAATATTTGGAACCAAAAACCGAAGTTTGTGTCATGCGCCTTGGAAACTATAAAACTTTTTTTTGATCCATTGTTTTTTGACTTGCTAATTTTCTATCCCGAATATTCTCAGATTCTTAGGAATTTTCTCAAAAAGGTAGTTTTAGTTTCGTTTCTGAATCTTTTTTTGAATTAGAATCTCATTACGAAAATTCTCGAAGAACTTCATATTCCGGACTACGCTGTACGTATGCTCCAGTTGAAAAAAAACCACCACTAACCCGAACTTTCAAAGAATCAATGATATGATTATATGTGACAGCTTCTGTGATTGGTTCAAACGCATGATCTCTGACCAATTGCAACAATTCAGGATCAATCTTTTCCATTTTCTCCATTACATCTGCGTATTCCGATGACTTTTGTTGGTTCACACCGTAGACTGGACAGTTATCAATAGCACCGAGAGAGACCTAAAAAAAGTTTTTTGTTATCAATTTTCTTTTGTCTTTTTAAGTCAAATAAACCCAATCAATTGATGCATCAGTTTGTTGGGCGACGGGTTGCCAAAGGATTTCAGGATTCCAAGTTTGATATTTATTAGGTGGTAGGAATCCTGCAAACATTGCTTGTGCTGATGCAGATGTACGGTTATCGACTCCAGTGTAAACGTGGAACTGTAAAAGGTGCAGAAATCAAGTTCATTTATTCTTGAAAAAGGCACAAACATCATTGGGTCTATAGGTGTCTCCAAAATGGTCTCCATAAATCTCGCGCAGTCTTTTTCCAAGTTGAAATTCTTCATAAATTCCTCTCTAAAAATAGCAACATTTTTTCACATTCCAAAAAAACAAGAAACTTTGGTCAGCTCTCCGGGCCACGCGATTTGTTGCCATTCAGTGTTGTTCTTGTCGTCTCCTGGGAAATAAATGTAGTGTCCGGGCGTGCGCTCTCCATGACGGAACCACTGGAAAAAAGAGATTTTATAATATATGTACAAACACTTCCATTTTTAAAAAATTGGAAATATCATGAATAGGAAGTTTAAAATTGGAAGGATATTAAAATATCGAAACTCACAATCTGCACAAATTTCAAAACTCCTAACGTAGCTGGATAAAATAGAAACATCAGAAGCAGCGTCCTCATTGTTAAAGATGTTTTTCAGCAAACAAATGAAGAAAAACTGTGTCTTTTCAAACAGCGACACGCTTATCAGAGGTTGCGTCGGGTGCACTGTATTTCTAGCGGAGCATTTGGAAAATCAATAGCTGAATGTAGGTAGTCTACAAGACACAAAATGAAGACTTGTTTGTGTTTTGTACATAATGGTGATAAGATATGGATATTGTAGTACCCGTGGTCTTTGATGATTGTGCTTTTTCTTTAATAGTCTGCAAAAATTACTATTTCATTTTTGAACTTACATACGATACTGGCTCAAAATCAATTCCAAACTATTATTGAAACAAAAATTGAGTGTTTGAGTATCTCAACAAGTACGGTTAACACCAATGGAGCCCTTTGCTTTCACATTTGAGCCAATTTATCTCGATTCCTGTAAAATGTATCAAAAAAGTAATTGACTGACAACATATTTTTTATACTATTATATTTTTGATACTATTTTGATACTACTTCGTTTACCACTTTTTGAAAATCTTCTTACAGGAAATGAGATATATACGGCTAGAGTTGGCGGTTTGGGCATTTCATTAAAGTATTCACGGTATTTGGTACTGGTCCGCTTCGTCTAAAAACATTTAGTTATTTTAAAACACAGCTTTTTTTTGTAAAATCACTTTAATTTAATTTTGTTTATTGATCAGGTGTAATAAAACATTGGAGGGCAGGACATGAAAGAGGGGAAACGAGATAATTTAGATATTTGACACAGGAAAGATGTAACCGGTAGAAAAAGAAAAATAGGGAGCAAATTTATCAATAACGGGTAATATTGAAAGAAATTAAGGATTCAAACTCGGAAGGTAGGAGAAATCGGGTAACTTGGGAAGTGATGGCGTTCCACAGGGGAACAATTGAAGAAAAATAGTCAGAGGAGTAGGGCTGAACAATAATTAAGTTCATAGGGCGACGAGGGGAGGAGGAGTATTTGACATGTGCATTTAGGTTAGGAAAGTAAGCGGAGCCATTTAAAAATTTATAGAGAAGAATTAGTTAAGCTTTTAGCCTACGATGTCGAATGGAGAACATATTGAGGATAGAAAGACGATCAGAATAGGAACTGTACTGGATATTACAACGCTGGAAAATAAACAACGCTGGAAAATAACAACTCTGGAAAATAAACAACGCTGGAAAATAACAACGCTGGAAAATACTTGCTGACAAGCTAAGTTGTATAAAAATGCATTGCCATTCTTGTTCCACTGATTTCAGTAGTAATTTTGAAACTTCTGAAGTTTTTTTTTTGTTTTATATGATTTATTAATTCAGTTGAAGTCCAAGAAGGTGGTGGTAATCAATAGAGAAACAAATATATGTGGGAGAATTCTTGAAAATTTGAAACAAAACTAGTTTTTGAGAAACAGATTTGATCACTCTATGGTTATTCTGAAACAGTTTTCTCACCGGTATTGTGGTATAAAAATTAATTTCTTCTTCTTCTGGAACTCCACTCCACGTCCACGTGCCCAGATCATACTGTGACTATGAAACTTCATCTTTAAAAGACCCTAACCCTTGTAGGCATCAGATCTCTCAAGACATTAACCCCTTACTCCTGAAAAAGTGAACATTGCTTTTTCGTCCCATCAATTGTTATTTTTTCCCAACGGACCACTTTGATCTTTACCGAACAACACTTCAAAAAAATAGTGTAATGTGAAGTGGAGTCTGTGGCTCTTTGACATTGAAAAAAAAGATCCCTTTCATTTTTTTTGCTTCCCCAATGCACTTTAAGATATTTTTTCTTTCCGCAGTTTCTTCTCCATCACTAAAGGTCAAACCATTGGAATTTGACAGGACAGAAGATATAAGAGAATGGAAAAATATGAAGATGACTGCGACGTAGAAGAAAAACGGGAACGCAACATTTTCAGGTCGCATGTGAGAGAGGATGAGAGACAAAAGGGAGATAAGGAACGCGCGATTTTATTCTTCACTCCGATGAAACCTTGAACATGTCACTTCATCAATCAAAACCGTTTCTCCGATTCCGTTCGTCCCTCGCCACGCCGTCGCCAAACATACGACACGACCTCAGCAAATTTAATTTGAAAGATGAGATTTTTTTCTTCTCCAAAAGTTCATTTGAAAAAGTGTTGCCAAAGTGTAAAATCGGGAGTGTCATTTGTGAACGTGGTACGAGCTGTCTTTTTACACTTTAGTGGTCGCTACTCGTGATGCTATTTACGAGCGGCGTTGGTCCCTCGAAAATTCGTTTTTTTCACTCCTACTGATGACTAAAGGATTGTCATCGAGAGAGTAAAAAAATACGTAGTGAACTTTGTCTGCAAAAAATAAACTTTCGGACAAGAGGATTTGAATTTATTTGCAGGTGGTCACAGCAGTTTTTTTTTCAATCCCATAACTTTGGAATTTCCATTCAATTTTGTACGTGCAAATTTAAGAGAACAATTTTTAATGATGATTTTTATTGGATTGGATTTTTCATAGTGGAAGCCGAATACGACTTGAGATAGAGAAATTGTACATGACTAAAAGGGAGGGAGTTTGAGGTGGAACGGTTGTATAATGGGGTTTAATTTTTTGAGGTAGAAAAACGGTACATAACTAGAATTGGGGACAGTTGGGGAGGTAGAACGCATTATACAGTCATAGGCCAGTATGGAGAGAAAAAATGAGTTTGAGGTAAAGAAAAAAGGATTGGGGATGGCAAATTCAATGAGGTACATAATATTGGATAACAGTAATCAAGAGACAAGTAGTTCATAGAGAGGAGGAGGTTTTTACTGAAAATGGAGCATAGTAAATTCCTGAGATGAGTTCTGGGAGATGAGGTGGGCCAATAAATTTTGATGAAGCTGAAAAGGCTATACAAAGGATGAATAATAAGCACGCAATTAGGTTGAAACGGAGAATGTATGGCAAAAGGCTTGGGATGTATGAAGGTAAGGGGGAGACTGAAATCAGAATTTTTGGGAGGACATGGGAGTTTTTGAAAGAGGTACATAAGCAAATTGAGGTAGCATGAACAAAAAAAAACGGTTATTATTAAATTGCTTGATGGGGTAGAAAAGTTGTAAGCGGGTTTGGGAAAAAGTCACTTCGGTTATGAAAAAAAGTAATGACAAACTAGATGAAAAACGAATCATTGGCATGAATTCTAGTTCGAAACGGTTAAAACTGCAATACAATCTCTGATTCCCAAAATGTTGGGAACCACGATAACCGTAGGAAAAAAAGAAAGGAGACACGAGTTGGTATGGGATGGACAAGAGACGAGTTCGTATGATTTTTGGGGAGAGAGGTAGGGGGACGGTTGTAGGGGGCTATAATTAAGGGGAAAATACACAAAATGCTATAACAAGAAAGAAGAATCATGCACATATTAAAAAATTGGGTGAATAGAAAATAAATAAGTTGTTTGAAAGACATGCAAAAGAGAATAAAGCTTATTAGTGGAGAAGGGGCCTTAGAAATTGAGAAAAAATGAGAATGAAATCATTTGAAGGTTTTTTTGGAGCACGCAAAGAAAAATTTCCATATCCCGAAATATTGAGAAGGTACATAGTAACAGAAACAAGTATTCTGGAGGAGAAGGGGTACTACATGTACTTTGGCAAACAGTATACAATTGCTTCTAAGAGTGACACGTTTAATAGATTGGGGGTACAGAGAGTAAGGCTCTTTTAGGTATTTTCGTTTTGGCGTCATTGAAACAAGTACGGGAATATGTTTTGAGGTAGGGATGATAAACAGAAAAAGTATATAGTGATAACTAGTGGTTTTGAGATTCCATGGAAATGGATGGTTTGAGGTACAATTGCAAGAACATGGCCAAGATTAAAAAAGGAAACAAATAACAAAACGCCCGAACATTGATAAGTTAAAATATTAGGAAAAGAAAAACCAGCTACAAAACGAGTCTATTCCCAAATGGAAGTTTCGTCGACTAGATGAGGGTAAGACTATGAAGGGAGAAGTCTTCACTGATGTTTCGCTTGGTACATGTGGAGAGCAAAGCTCAATGTATCGTGGCATTGGTATTGACACTTTCCACATTTGAATGGATTTCCTGGAGTATGATGCATCATGTGAGTATTGTAGGCTTCTTGATTCTAAAAACTTTTCAAAATTAGAAATTCAGTTCTGAAAAAAAGAAGTTACTTACGTTGAATGGAATATTGCAGTGTTCGCATTGGAGCATATTCCTGTTCACCATATTCAAAGCAAGAGCTGCCTGGGTCAGGAAGTTCTGGAACATTGCTTGGTCCGGCCTCAAGGAAATTGGAATTGGAGCAGCAATCGGAACTGGAACATGTGGTGGAGAAGCGACAGATGTGGTGTCTGATGGTGAGTGGGGAGCAGCATCATCAGCGCTTTCTCCATCCCGATCAAGAGCGCTGTCATTGCTGCTGATTGGGCTGTGGCTGGAGTGAGCATTATTCTGTTCTGATGTCTTGCACTTGACATCGTCATCTACGGAAGAAACTGAAAACAAGATTTATTACTCCTGAACCCCTCTTTCCTAATTACCTTGAGAGCTTCCTGTTGGCGAGACGGCTGAGTCACTGCTATGTTCCATTTCTTCATCTCCACAGTGACTATCCTCAGTTGTATTGTCATCCTCAATCTTAACATCGCACTCCATGTTTTCTTCATCTTCGTCTCTCACATTTCCAAGAGTTGGAAGATTCAAAGTGTTGTACAGAGATGCGATGGTGGTTGGAACTTGATTGGAACTGAGAATGTGAGACATGCTGTGACGGATCTGCTCTTCTTGGGTGCCAGCAACAAACTCGCACAATGGACATTTGAAAGTTTGCATTGGAACACTTGGTAAACCGGCAACACGGATCAATCCATTGTCGAGATGTTTGTTGAGAAGCATCTGATTTCCAAAAGTGAAGCTTGGTCCAGCAATCAATGAGTTGAATTGGAAAGGTTGAGCAATTGATGGTGTTTGCTCAATTGGCTCTGACTTGATTTCCTGTTTCACAATTGGACTGAATGTTATTGTAGCGTCTGACTGGCTCAGGGTTGGTGAGCTATCTCCTCCATTCATCTCGATACCTTCCGGCACTCTTCTGTGGTTGTACTTTTTCAAGTGAAGCTGAAAACAAAAATGATTAATTTCAATTTAATTTTCTTCTCAATTACCTTCAAGCTGTGGCAGTATTTGGTAGCATATGTGCAATCCATACATCTGAATTGATAATGGTTGGTGTGACTCTTCATATGCGAGTTGAGCATTGACTTGTTGACGCAGTTGTAGGAGCACTTCTTGCACTGGAATGGCTTACTTCCAATGTGATTTCTGTAGTGATACTCCAAATGATGCTTGTACTCGGTGACGAAATTGCAGTGTTGGCAGTTCAGTTGCTTCTCAGCTGGAATGTGACTTCTGGCATGAGCCCATTGATCATCCTTGGAAAGACTTTGGTGTCCACACTGTTTGCACTTGAAGATCTTAATCTTTCCACTGCTGCTTCTTCTGCTCTCTCCATTGGATTGCTTCTCTGGTGACGCCGGCTCTCCTTTAATTACCTGAGAAACAACTCCCAAGGCTGAAGCGAGATTCATTCCTCCTTCTGGCATGAAGTTTGGATTTTCAGAGATGGCCTTGATATGATCCAAAGCTGAAGTTCCAAAGTTCGATTGTCCAAGTGTCGACAAAAGCGATGGAGTTGATGTCATGTCCAACGTGAGAGCCGAAAGAGCAGATGGCGGCTCTGTGGTGGAGGAAGCAGTGGCTGCTATAGCATTGCTTGTTGAGTCCAAAATAGAGGCTAGGGTAGTGGAAAGGTTGAAACTTTCGTTTATTGGACTGGCGGCGCTGCTATCTTTGGATGATATGGATCCTTTTGGTGATGACGAGGTGTTGCTGCTAGTCTCCTTCGCTGGCTCTAACTCCAATCCAGCTTTCAGTTGCTCCTCAACAGTATGGGATTCTCTCATATGCTTTTTCAGCCTTCCTTCTGTCCTACTGGTGTAATCGCACATACTGCATTGATGGTCTCCATGTGTATTCATGTGACTGTTGAAATGGAATTTTGACGGGCACATAAATCCACATATAGGACAAACGAGCATCGGCACCTGGCCATTTGGTGTTGGCGGTAAAGCCACCGGTCCAAGACCAGGCGGCCTACAAAATGAGGCAGATGTGGTGGTAGGGGTGCTGGGACTACTGACAGCCGGTGCAGCTGCATCCTCATTGTTGTTGTTGGTGCTGCTGCAGTTGTTGTTGATGTTGGTAGAAGATGGTGATCTCAATAAAAGTTCCTTTGGCTCAATGTTTGAAAATGCGGAACTTCCGCTTCGCATAAATCCAAATGAATCTGATACAGGCTTTCGTATTCTTTCAGCCGCTGACATCACATCTTGGAATTCCTTGGCACCAAGTCCCAGTAAAATTTGTGTCTCTGGTGTCATTGGAATCGGGGCAGCCAATGGTGTTTGTAAAAACGTCTGCATAATTGGGGTAAGAATAGTTCCACTGGTCTGGGGTATATTAGCTTCTGGCTCTGGCTGATCTTTTGGTTGTTCTGATTCCGCTTCCTCTTTTTTCACTTCCACTGATCCTTCCTCTGGTACTATCGTATCCTCATCCTTTTCATCTGTGTCCATCTCTTCTATCGTTGTCATGCACTCCACATCAATATGCTCATCAGTGTTCACGGAGCTAGCTCCATCATTGCTCGGTGACTGTGATGCTGATACATCGTAGGAATTTGTGTGCTCACTAGATTTTCTGTCCTCCTGCAAAAACATATAATTATGTCGGCTGAGGTAAGTAAAAAAACATACCTCATTTGGGCTAACATATCCTGCATCCGGACTGATTTTCTCGCTCGGCTGTTTTGCTGTTAACATTTTCAAAGATGACGTATCGAAATTTCCAGTTAAATGCGTTGGCACTTTAGATGCTGTTTCACAACACTTGTCCCAATCTGTTAAGCTGTTATTGTTTGCACTCCAATTTCCGCAGTTTCCGTTAGGAGGCCATTCGTCTCTGAAAATATGACTTTATAGCTACAGTAACCTAGAATTACAGTAATCCTAAAACATCCAGGACACTCACCCTATCAGTGCAGGCTGTTTTACATAGTCCGCGTAATTGAAAGGCATCTGTGTCCTCCTTGCTCCCTTCAGTGTGATAAATGTAGGAGAACTTTCAGTACGCACCTGCAAAAATTGGAAGTTTAAAAGTAGGTAAGCAGGTGGAAAGAGGGTAATCAAGGAATCAAGAAAAAAAAGCAAAAACGATAAAAAAAACAACTGTTAGAGAGAAGTGGAAAAACATGTATTCCACGTATGAGGGAGAAATAAGTCTTATCTAGTCATGGGACGATCACAAAAAAAAGGTTTTTTGGGAGCTGTAGACTGGAGATAAAAAAGAATAGCAGTATAAATAGAACATGCAAATAGAAACGTAAAAAATGAAGGTAATTGCTAAAAAATAGAACGACAAGACAAAGGTTAGCCCAAGGGCACCGAATGATTAAAAAAAAACCTCGTGCCATCCCTTCAAAATTTTCAAAACAAAAAGGGCTTGCAAACGAAAAAAATATCTGCATTTCAAAACCTTATTTCGCAATCTAATTTTTTTCCTAAATTGCACTTTTGACTAAAAATAAAAAGTAAAAAACAACATGCTCTATTTTTTTTTCAGAAAAACAGCTTCTCCTTTTTCCGATGAGGTTCTCTTTTTTTTCCAAGGGACTTGAAAACAACAGAAAGATGTCTGAACTTTTGGGAAGCAAAAAAAGTTTTGGAGCAAAAGCAGCAAAAACAGAGAGGAATCGGTTTGTAGAAAATCTAAAACTCAAAAACAAACGGGTGGGGCCATCTGGTCAGAGAGCTTACCCATTTTTCCTGGCCAGCTAAGATCCTTCAAGATGTTTTTTGTGCATTCCTAAGTCCGAAAGTGCGGCTGAATCCCTAATGTTCTTTTTTTCCTATGTTCTTTTGTTCGGAAAAAAAGGTTCCAAAGTGCATTTCAGTCAGAAGGTCCGAAGACAAAAAAAAATGTGTTGTACTATTCAAACGGCGTTGAACTCACCAAAAAAAGCAGAAGGTCCAGGACAACTAATCCTTTTTGAAAAGCGACACACACAAAATGACCCTCTAGTGGTTAGAATTTCGGAACTTTCCCATAGAAGACTCTAGAAGGAAGTATGAAGAGTTCTTTTTATTGTGTTACTTTGATCATAAAGTTAAAATTGAAAAACTATGTCAGCAAAACAGCCATTGTGTAGTTCTAATACAAAAAAAAATGGGTTGAGCAAGATTTAATCTTGGAAAAAGTTGATTGCCTTGAGCAAAATGGCAACTTTCGGCGGTTTTTTAATCTAGCCAATCATTTTTCAAAAAATGGACTCGTCTTCTAGTAGCCTCACGTCCAAATAACCAATTCAGAGGCATGCATATCAAGTTGAGGTCATGGAGCAAAAGCAGGTAGAAGCGAGAACTTCTGGAAAAGCAATTAGGTTCTAAAATTTCGTGCTATTTTTTGTCTTTCTCATTTTGAGCTGTTGATGACAGAAAAAAGAAGACATTTTATGGCTGAGATAGGACAAACAGACATAAACAACGCCTGATGATTTTTTTTTCTGCAGAAAAAACACATTACCACGCCCCGTATTCTGGTTTGTTCCACACACAATATGCACTTTTGTTTTTTTTTTGTCACTACTACGTGTCGATGAAAAACATGCTGAATCCCTTGACGAATTGGGTTACGGTACTCAAAAAATTTGTTTTCTTAAAAACCTGCAACTTTTTGAAAACCAAACCATCACTCAGAGAACAAGAAGCCGCTCGAAAAAAAACCAAGTTCAAACATTTGAAACCGGGTCGAGGAGTCGCCGAGGGAATTTTTTTCTTTCTGCCTTGGTGTGAGAAAACGAAAAAAAGAAACGTCTGGTCTGTGAGAAAAAAGTGGAAAGTTACTGGATATAATTGATGAAAGGCAGACGTGAAAATGGGGACAGTAAAAGTGCTTGCAGTAGTTTTTCTCTTCATTTTCTTCTTCTCATTCTATTAAGGGACATCCTCCGGGATCGGCCATCTTTCTTTCTCTTCTCACCTTTTTCCTCTCCTAACTTTTGTATGTTGCGCTCAAAAAAACAATCTCTACGTGGTCGCGACCTATCTACCACCCGGCAAATAATATACTGACCTTGGAGGCGCCTCTTCTCTGCGAACTCTGATTGCAACGGTGTTGCGAACCATGCGCCCCGCATCCTATACAGGGCGACGACGTCGTCACCTCCTCTCACGCCGTAAAAAAACCAGCACGATCAGGAAAAGTTATAAGGCACACGCGACTAAAGAAGAATAGATATACAGATAAGGATGAGATGTTTTTCCATAACATTCTCCTACAGTTGTCACTACTCTTCAGTATCTCGAAACACCGATTCACTGTCCCAGTAAAAAAAAGAAGACTAAAGAAGAAACTAGGTCTCTGCCTAGTACAAGAACCGCAAGACTGACACGGATATCTAGGTCAGTCTGTACGGTAGGAGTATCCATAACAGTATCAAATCAGTTTCTTATCAGTTTGGGGCTGCAAACCTTTTTTTCGATCAGACCGTAAAAAGCTAACTGACGACGGGTCTTTCGAAAAGTAGCCGAGTTGAAAAAAAAACGAAAAAAGTGACTGCTGTTGCCGAGAAAAGAGCACATGTCAAAACGATTGCGAAGTGATGGAATGAGAAGCACTGGTCACCGGGCTACTGATTTCCGAAAAGTGGGCGGGACTGATGGACCCGTATTCCGTCCGGACACCGCGGGTCAACGAAGCGGCTGCTGCTTGCGGAAAATTGAGAATTCGAGTGGGAAACACTGAAAAAATTAGCTGTAGAAACATCGATTGTTGCGATTTCTCAGTTTTCGGATGACGGATATATACTTTGAACAACCAGAAGTTGTCCTCTTGCTTTTTTTCCTAGGGATCGGTGTGACCCATTGTGTCTCCTATCTTTTCCAATTGCCCAAAACGCTGATAGAAGAAAATTGAGTTAGTTTTTTTGCGAGCGGATAGGAGATACGTGATTTATTTGTGCCCTCGTTTTTTTTGTTACTTCCTATCTCTCATTTTTTTTTCCTCCCGTTTTTTGCTGCTTCTTCCTCTGGGGTGGCGGGAGTTGTGGGGTGAGAGAGAGTGTGGATAATCGCGTTCCAAAGATGAGTACACTGCTCGTTGTACTGACGATCCACCAGCTCTTCTTCTCTTTTTTCTGCTTTTTTCCGCTATCTCTTGTGACCACGTCGTTTCGCATCAAGAGCACGAAAAAAAGCTCGACCGACGAGCAAGGGACCCCAGAAGCAAAAAAAAAGAAGAAGGAAGAAAAAAGAGCTGACGCTGAAGGGATAAGAAGCACGATGGACCGAAGCGCAGTGGAAAAAGTTGCGAAACGTTGTCAAAAAAATGGGCGCTAAGCGGGAGTAGCCACAAAGCAAATGAGCTGACTCACATTCAGATAGAAAAAAGAAGAACCAGAAGCACAAAAAAAGAAAAAAAGAAGAATATAAAAGGAAGACAGCCGGAAATTTGGTTTGGCTATTTGAACAGTTTCAAGCAACATTAAACCCCAAATAAAGAAGAGGCAGAGGTTTTTTTTAGTTTCTTCGAAAGGAAAATTGTGGAAATCGGTTTTTCGATCTAGACAGATGATGATCAGATTAGAAACGCTCTTCTGTCAAAATTGAAATTTGAATAAATGAATGAAATGTTCGTTTCCAAAATTGACTTTTCTCAGACGACACGCCAGATGTTTCTATGAGGACGAAGAGGGGGGATTTGGAAAAATTGGATTGAAACCATCGAAACCGGCTCCCCCTCCGTCAATTCCCTATTTATCTTACCAATACCACCACCAAGCTCTAGTGATCCATTCATACCAGCAGTATATACGCAATGTATCATTCGGCGTGACCAATTGCGCACCAATGGGCGCCTTTCTTTTTTGCACCAATATGCAAATCATGTTCATTGGAAAAAAGATGAGGAATGGATACCAACCAAATGGAAAAATGGACAGATGGATACAAAAATTAAAAAGAGGATGAAGAGGAACGAGTGCCTTTTTCGAATTAAATGAAGAATCATGAAAGAGGAGCTCACTTTTCTTTGTGGGCGGAGTCTAGACAAAAAGTGGGGTTTGGAGGTAGTCTTGACGGTGCAGGTGGTCGTGGGAAGGAGCCGCGTGGTACGGAAGGGACGAGAAAAACTGGGTTAATTGGTTTCAAATGAAAATGACGGAAACGTAAATGGGTTCCAAAATCGGGAACGGCGGGGAGAGAAAGAGATCTCGTTTAGCTGTCATTCATTTTGGCTCCTCCTATCCTTTTTGAGGACCACAAACGGAACCAGGTGGTTGAAAATACTATTGTCAGAAAAACAGGACAGCCACGCGTTGACAGCGGAAATCGGGTATGCACATACAAATAGAGAGAGACATAAAACCGTCTAGGGCCTACCCTGGTTTACGAGTTCCCCAAACAATGGATCATCGTCAGAATGAAATACTAATGGTTTTTGTGTTTCCTAGATGGTTTAAAGGGTTTTTCAAACATTCTCAGGGTTTCTTGAGAACTTCAGAGTTATAGATTATCTTTGAAAATTTTAGGACTTTACAAAAATGGAATTTTGAAAGTACTGATGCTCTGTATTCTAGAAATATGCAAAAAACCTGGAATGAATGAGAAAATTAAGAAAAACGAAAGCGGTCAATTTTGAATGGGACCAATTAGGTTTCTCCGAAGGCATGCACACAGAAAGGAAAAATAAAGAAGAAGAAGAAGGATATATGGAAATATGAGTTAGGAGCAGCATTGAAAAAAAGGATGATGGACAAAAATAGAAGGACTTTGGTTGTTAAATACTTGAAAAAAGAGAGGAAGAAAAAAACGGGCCAGTGGTCATTTTTATTATGCAGTAGTGTTCTAGGCGCAGTGGGGCTGGTCGCAAGGGGCTGGCAGTAAGGGAGAAGAGGGGGCGGGGCCAGAAGAGCTGTCTCCGAAAAATCCGTTATTGTTAGTAGAAACATAGTGCATCGAGTAAACAATCGAGAGAACACATCAACGATATATACGCAAAACCATCACAGCACGACGCGGAA